ACTTTAAGTATATAATTTCTATTTGCTAGAATAAGTACATTTACTTCGGAACTCTTTGAAGTCGTTATAAAATTCCTGACATTAGCCAGAGCGGTAGGGACGCGGCGGCAATTTTATCGATAGAAAGTATCAAAGAAGAAAACTTTCCGAGATAATTGAGGTCGATATTGGATATTTCATATTAAAAGTTAGGACGTTATTAAAGTTGAGTTTGACTACGTTTGATTTATTAATCATACTTACCTTTATTTTTTATTAAAACTTATTTCCTGCCCCAACGGCCATCGTCTCTACGAGCTATGTGCCCCGCCCACTGCCACTTGATTTTAGCAATTCTGCGAGCTATGTCGGTTACTTTGGTTCTCCTACGGATCTCCTCATTTCTGATTCGATCACGCAGGGAAACTCCGAGCATAGCCCGCTCCATCGCCCTTTGGGTGACCTTGAGCCTTCTTATGAGGCCCATAGTAAGCGACCACGTTCTCGAGTGGCGACCACGGGCTGGAAAACGTAGCGTGGGCAGGCCTCCTACTAGGTGGACCGACGATCTGGTAAAGGTCGCGGGAAGAGCCTGGATGCGGGCAGCGCAGGACCGTTCATTGTGGAAAACCTTGGGGGAGGCCTTTGTCCAGCAGTGGACGTCATTTGGCTGAAACGAACGAAAACTTATTTTGCCAGTCAGTAGTATACCTACGTTTAGAATTAATACTGACAAGGCAAATATCAGACTCAAATAATGTACGGATCAAAGACTGATAGTTGATGAATAAGTGAGAAAAAAGTCTAAAATCTTCGAATTCGTTGTGAATGACAATAGAAATCCACTATTGCATTCTTATATGCTTTTAGTTTCATACAGAATGATCCGGTAATCAGCCCTCAATGGCACTTCACCAAATCTGACCGTTTGCGTGCATCTATTGAGTAGGTGGTTGTATCACGCCGCAAAATTTTAAACATGGGATAATTTCTGTTGATTTTCAACAGCTGAAATTGTTATTTCTATCGACAACGTTTACGGCCATCACTATAAACTCAAATGCTGTACCAGTCTCTTGCTGATCTAATTAAAGTGTAGTCACCGAGCAGGTGGAGCCGTGCGTTGCTAATGGTCCTTCATTAAGGACTGGTGGCTTTCCTCCATTCGAGCGTCTTGTTTGTTACAATATGGTGGTACAAATATACTGCTAAAATCTGTTTTTAAGTAAACCAGAATGACAAAAATATCATAAATTATAATGCAGTCTACACACTAAACCCGCTGACACACGACATAATTCGTCGACTTTGGACATGTCAAAAGTCAAAGAAAGTAGAAGTCGTCGACATAAAGTAAAAATTCTTTTGAAATAAAAGTTTGGTGTGTGACTTTTTACACACCAAAATTTTATTTCAAAATAATCTTTAGAAGGGCTCTTTCTTTAGCCCTTTAATGATCAAGTTTGTATGCCTTCTCTTTTAAAATATATTCCATGGGCTTAAGCAACAGGCATTGAATGAGTTTACAGAATACAATACAAAATACAGGTGCGATTGTGGTCAAATACCTGCCTTGTTATGTATACAGGNATTCGGTCGAAAAACAGTCCTACTGTACCTATTTCTACTATATCACGCCTTAGGGACTAGGTTCGACTCCCGCTGCGAATCGAGGCTTATAGAACGCGTATGAACTCGTATACTTTATGATTTATGTGCGCAAGCTTCACAACATGTTTTGCTACAAATTCTTTTGGAAGGATATGGATGGCGTTGAAATTTTAGAAGGTAGGGTTGGTGAAGTAAAATTCGTATATATTTTAGATCGTCTTGGATCTAATTGTCTTATAATATTATGATGTCAATCAAAAATGAAAACTGATCATAAGAATAAGGCGTTGATGGTTTCCCTAGTCTCAGAATTAGTAGACTTTCACTAACTCTTTTTTTACTTTTGTCCAGCAGTGGGAAAGTCTAAGCAAGCTAAAATATTTGTTTCCCATCTCGTGTTGTTCTGCAGAATTAATTATACGATTAATCTTGTTATTGTGCTTCTACTATCTAATAAAAAGGGCTACCTATTTACTGCATACTTTAAACTGATAAGGATCCAAAGAAGCAAATATTTTTAATTAATAACATTGATAAGCAATATAATATACGTACTCATACTTATCCGTCATAGAAAACCTACACAGAGACAGAGCAATATCAAAGTTTTCCCGCTCAGTAACAGAAACTGCAGCGAGCGCAAACATTAGCAGCACCACGGAGTAAATAATCTGCTGTGAGTCTGTACGATGTCGGATTCTACAAACTTTGACGGTTGTGCTTAAGTTTCCATAATGCTGTTTATATTAATCCGCTTTTCTTCGTTTCAGCCAAATGACGTCCACTGCTGGACAAAGGCCTCCCCCAAGGTTTTCCACAATGAACGGTCCTGCGCTGCCCGCATCCAGGCTCTTCCCGCGACCTTTACCAGATCGTCGGTCCACCTAGCTTTACCGCTGGGGTAAACGAGTTTTTGAGCGATTAAAGCTCAGTATAACTCGCTCTCCAGCTTGGTTAGGAAAAAACGCTGGCTGATGCTGGAAGCGACTAGCTAAGAGATGTTAAAATGGCGGATACTTATTAGGGGAAGCCTTTGTCCAGCAGTAGATAGGCCGATGATGCTTGATGATGATAATGAAATGATTCTTGATGATGAAAGGTGAATATGGTGATGACATAACACCTATGGAAAGCTCCCTTTGTTATTCTGGTCTTAGATATTTTATGATTTTCATTTAATGATTAATTTTACAAATTAATTTATTATCCCAATATTGTAGTATGTAGGTATACTCTTTTCATAAACGATAATGCAATACAACTCTATTATTTATAACTCAAAAGAATCACAATGAAATGTTTTAACGCAGTTTTCTCCTCGCAAACGTGCAAATACTAATTTAATCAATTAACTAACCTCCTTCATATTAGAACTTGCGCCAGCCGCAAAAATACAACCCCGGAGTAAATATAATCCAGACATCTGGCTCCAACTTTAAGTATATAATTTCTATTTGCTAGAATAAGTACATTTACTTCGGAACTCTTTGGAGTCGTTATAAAATTCCTGACATTAGCCAGAGCGGTAGGGACGCGGCGGGCATTTTATCGATAGAAAGTATCTAAGAAGAAAACTTTCCGAGATAATTGAGGTCGATATTAGATATTTCATATTAAAAGTTAGGACGTTATTAAAGTTGAGTTTGAGTTCGTTTGATTTATTAATCATACTTACCTTTATTTTTGATTTAAACATAATTTCCAGTCAATATACATACGTTTGAAAACAAGATGCGATATAGGTATTTGATTAAAATAAAATATGGATCAGATCAGATGGGAACAAAGATCAATTTGATGAACAAGTGAGAAAACGTCTAAGAATTATAGCACTACGAGTTCTATGAGTAAACAGTTAATCACGCTGCTTTATTTTAAATCCTGCCTAAAATAATTCTGTTCATTTTCAGCAGCTCAGTGATTATTATTTCTATCGACAAGGTTCACGGCCATCACTATAAACTCAAATGCTGTACCAGTCTCTTGCTGATCTAATTAAAGTTTAGTCACCGAGCAGGTGGAGCCGTGCGTTGCTAATGGTCCTTCATTAAGGAATGGTGGCTTCCCTCCACCGGAGCGTCTTGTTTGTTACAATATGGTAGAACAAAAATACTGCTAAAATCTGTTTTAAGTAGACCAGAATGAGAAAAATATCATAAATTATAATACAGTCTACCTACCAAACCTGCCGACCTGCCGATTCGCCCACGTATCTCGTCAACTTTTGTCATGTTGTCAAAAGTCCAAGAAAGTAGAAGTCGTCGACATGATTCTTTTGAAGTAAAGATTATTTTGAAATAAAAGTTCGGCGTGTGAAAAGATCCCTTAAAAGATCAAGTTTGTATGCCTTCTCTTTTAAAAAATATTCCAAGGCCTTAAGAAACAGGCATCCAATGAGTTTACAGAAACTATTCGTAAATTATCCTCCATCGTGTGTCAGGCAGAAGTAGTTGGAAGAACATAAAGTACCTACCTAAATTGTTTTGATTACTTTGGCAAGTTTACTACGATTTTGGTGTGAAAATCGTCGTCTTTGTTTACTTTCTTGATGCATTGTTTTACGTACATTTTGCATCATAAACTCCTTGCTTTAGTTTGAGTTTCTACAACGCTCTAAAGTCTACAATGATGTAAGAACATCTTTTACCGCGCTTTACTTACAAAAGCGCAGTGTCACGCGAAAAAACTCCAACCAAGATAATTCTTGGAGGGTAAAAATTGTAACTTTTCGCATTTTACACCACGACACAGACACTACCTAATCTAAGTTGGAGAAAGCAATTTTAAAATACGCGATGTCCGCTCCCACGTCAGCACGCTGAAATATTGCGGCGTGCCACGACTTAATAGAAAAGGACGCAAGATAAATTGTTGTCAGCTTTCCTTGTCATGCGGAGATGAATGTTCGATGTTGCTCGAGGAAATTGTAAATTGAAGTCATATTTTCGAAGTGATAGGATTGGATGAGTAATAACGAGGAGTTTCTATTGGCAGCCGAGTTGAGTGATTGGTGCATTTTTTATTAATTTTGCTAAGGAAAGCCAGGGAGCTGCTCCTTTATTCTTTTATGTAAGCCTTCTTTATTACGTACATTAAACGGCATTTTGTTGGCAGAGTAGACTTTTCCGGTCGTCTCTAGGGAGATAATGTATTTTGATCAGTTTTGATCCTAAAATAGTAAATAAAATTGATTGTCAGCTTCAAATAACTATGCAAGTTAAATTATTTCCAGGTAGCACTTAAGAATGCAAATTTTTTGTGATTTTAAGAAATGCAATCAGTTAAGAACATTGTCTGAGAAAGAGACCGATTTGGTTCTTTACTGATTTTGAGACTTGAGTTAAGGCATTGAAATAATATTATTGTATAACATATGAGTCAATACAATAATGTTGTATTTTCTTCACCAGGTACAACTCCAAGCTGACAACTCTAGCGCTACCGTCGGTGATCTTCGAGCCCAAGTTCCGAGGGGCTGTGAGGAACCTGGTCTACTCCGACTTGCCTGGTCAGCCGCCGAGGAGGCAGGAGCTGAGGCATTCCAGGGACTTGAAGGTGAGTTGCTTTGGATTTAGTTTCAGATCTTACCAAAAGGATACGTTCAGGACTGAATTGAAACTCGCATGGATTCAGGCCTTCAATTGGTTCAAGTTTAATTTTTGTTGGATTTTTTATTGCCGGTCAAACTGTAGATTCTGGAGTGGGAACAAGAGGTGGGAACAGACAGAACACAGTCTGGACATTGTCATTAGATTAAAACCCTGTGTCCAGAGTCTGCCTGAGATTAAATACATTTTTAGCGTCGTTTTGTAATACAGGCGAGATGAGTAGTTTTTACACTCGCTTCATGGCCCACTAACTCTCACCTTGAAGTTCTTTTTTATCTTGTGAATGTTAAAACAGAATTTTCTCTAATTAATACTAATTATACTCCAGAGTATACTATAGCAGCAGTTAAGCTCCAAAAAGTTTCAGTTCTTGAAATTTTCAGCGCCATCCATAACACAATTTCAAACAAAAATCTTAATAAATTCAAAATATACCTGTACCTCGCGCCTTAACCGTTTCATTTCACGCGATACCTTCGAATTAATTCCCCGAAAACGCCTCCCCTAAAGTAGCAGTTGCATACCATTTCAATATCCACAAATCTACGAAACGAGGCCAAATCCCCAGTACAAGACTTGCAGTAAGATAACTTTAAATTCTCACATTCCGGGACAATATTTCATAAACGTCTCAATTTGGTAGGTCGTCGGCACGTTGTGTCACAGCCAAATGAATCCGGACCCTGTTGTGAATTGTGTAAAGCTCAAATCTCGGTGTGGCGACAGTTTTCAGCAAATCCGACCAAGAATTCCCATTGAGCGTTTCTTATCCCAGGCGGCTCGTGGCAAGTACGCCGAGGTTAAAGGAAAAGATGGGGAAAAATAATGTTATTTAAAATTTTCCTGAAATTCTGAAAACTTGAAAATTAACACTTCTAATTATTTCAAAANTGTCGAAAACTTTGGGCTTATAAAATAAAAAATGGCTTAAAAGGCGTGAATACAGCTACTTATTTATAGAACCTATCTTTGTTTAAAGTTGAATTGTGAACTACTACTAGATATAAACGTTTTGAAATAAGGGATTCAAAATCATTCTCCATCATTCGCTGCGGCAATGATACCGTACCGTAGGAAAGGGAATAAACCGCCATGACGTGTTACTTTTTCCTTTTCAACCAAACTAGGTTGCTTATCTATAAATAAATAAATATAAATAAATAAATATCCNTTTCAAAAACTTTGGGCTTTTAAATTAAAAATTGGCTTAAAACGCGTGAATACAGAGCTACGTATTTATAGAATCTATCTTTGTTTAAAGTTGAATTGTGAACTACTACTAGATATAAACCTTTCGACAAAATAAGGGATTCAAAATCATTATCTACCATTCGCTGCGGTATCATTGTTCCAGCATAGGAGTTGTTACGATAACGGGAACAAACTACCTTCTTGTTTTTCCTTTTCAACTAATTACTGGGTTGCTTATTCAAATATGAGATAGGTTTGGTTACGTTTAGGTTATAATTTCCTTACAATCTGTTTACATTTTTTAAAACCATCGTTTATTTTTCATTCACTGACCTCAGAAACGTGAAAGCTTCCCTCGAGCCTTTCCGTCATATTACGTGAATGATAATATATCGTTTATTTCAAATGTCCGTATTGACTGTGCAATAGGTACAGCACGCCGCAGAAGTTTACATTTCGTCGCCCTATGGCTTTTGGAATAAGATTCAAAATGTTGATGTGTTGACTGTATACAAGCTATCTCGACCGCTGTCAGCGCTGGCTGTTCATAAAGACAAATTGAGGCCTTTTGAAACACAAGCATTGAAAACATTCGTCTATTTGTTTGATAGCTAAATGGACCTTTGGATTTTGTTTAGAAGAATATTTGAAAGGTTGAGAGTGCTTAGTGTCTACTCACGGACATTGCCCGCGGGCGGCGTGACCGGAGGGAGCGGCGAGCGTTCGGCGAACGAACGAGCAATGTTCGGTTCGCGAGCGAACATCTAAGAAGACGATCCTGACGCACTCTCTTCAACGACTTTGCACTAAACGGTCTCGATATTATTGTAAATTTATACCGAATATACAATTAATTTTATACAGTCCACTCTTTTCATTTATTAACTTCCACTACACTCACTATCGAAGTAACACTTAGTAATTATTTCAAACCAGCTTAATACTGGATTATTTCAGTGCCATCAAAATTTTTTTGAAAACTTTAATCTGATTATTATAAAGGTGGTTTTTAGACAAGTACCTACCATCTAATAAAGCTAAATATTACATGACATACGCCCGTATTCACAAACATTACTATGAGGTCTCACAGTGGTATAGGGTGACACATGAACCAATCACAGAGCTCTATTAAACGCTGTGCGTTCGGTTTGCTGCTTCACTTAAGCAAGCATCGTTTGTGAATACGGACGACAGACTCTAACGCCCGTATTCACAAACATTACTATGAGGTCTCACAGTGCGCGTGGACGCACAGGGTGACACACGAACCAATCACAGAGCACTACTCAACGCTGTGCGTTTGATTTGCTGCATCCCTTAAGCAAGCATCGTTTGGGAATACGGACGACAGACTCTTAAGTACAGTTTACACTAGTTGTAGGTGCAAGAGCTTCAATAAAATGCTACATTTGCTTACAAGACAGTGTGCAACGCCCAACGTGTCCTAATTTTATTACAACGTAACATTTCAGCTCTTATTACCCATTCTGGCTTTGTAAATTTAATCGCCACTATAACAAGCTGCGCAAACAGCGTCATGTGACAAAGGGGTATGTTTTGCTCGTGTTTGCTTTTATATTTTGGCAGAGTTCGGTCTGATGAGCGCAGAGGTCCGGTCGGGAAATGCTTGTGATATTGTAGTTGGGATTCTGGGGTAAGGTTGTGGGTTTTTATCCCACTATTTTTTCTAATCGTAGCGTGGGCAAGCCTCCTACTAGGTGGACCGACGATTTGGTAAAGGTCGCGGGAGGAGGAGAATGTGGGCAGCGCAGGACCGTGAATTGTGGAAAACCTTGGAGGAGGCCTTTGTCCAGCAGTGGACGACATTTGGCTGAAACGAACGAACGAACGAAAGACATTTTTTTAAAACGTTAAATAACACGTATTAAACATGTTAAAGGAAAAGGCACTTTATAACTTTTAATTAGTGATTAACAGTGGAAAGTTACATTTTAATGATGTTGTTTGAATAGCAAGCTCAGTAGCGATTACTCGTAAATCAATCAAATAGTGATCTGAGTGTCTTGAACTTTTATCACACGATCAATATAAATTTTATCGTACATTAAACTTAAATATTAAATGAAATTACTCTGTCCAAAATTAAATGTATGTTTTCAACTTGGATTAATTTATAAGTTACATACGTGATATTGCTATGAGCTTATTGCTTATAACTTCTTATGTACCTACTAGCAGTAAGTATGGGAAAATATTTAATGGCACACGTGCTTGAGTGACGTGACTTTCCGATCCCGGGAATACCGTCAAAGTAAAAAATCCCGGTAATCTTGCAGCGAGTCACGGTGAAACGGGAATTTTGCAACGCGATTGACTTCGAGAGCCACGTGGGAGGGGGAGGGGGACTTACAAAGGGCTTTGGAGGGGGACTTTCAAATTTTTAACAAGGCGGTGTTTTGAGACGTAACGATTCCGACAAATGTTGGATGTTGGGGAAGAAAAATACGGGTAGCTTGTTAGTAGGTAGGGTGCTTGATGTGTAGCTAAAAATACTCGCAGCATTCAGGATATATTGGTCGCAGGTAAAATAATCGGTATTATTGATCCTTCTAATTTATATCTACAAGTCTGTTGGTCATTATAAAGGGAAAATTTTGGGTTACCAATCTACATCTTTACTACATAATTATAAAACAAAGTCGCTTTCCTGTCTGTCACTATGTATGCTTTAAATCTTTAAAACTACGCAACGGATTTTGATGCGGTTTTTTAATAGATAGAGTGATTCATGAGGATGGTTTATAGGTATGTATACTTAGCACCTGTTCGAAGTCGGGGCGGGTCGCTAGGGTATAATTATAAAATCATCTTTACATAAATCTGAGAAAACTGCCTGTAGTCATGCTACATGCTAGAGTTTGGTTTTTAAATCTTTTTGTAAACTACTATGAACTAAAATGTATTTCTTTTACTTTTTACAATTAATCACAGCCTGGTTGTAATACGACTCTTATTTATGACACAGTTTGGCGACGGGAATATTATACCTAAAGACGAGTCTTCATTTGGGGAAAATTCAAACATCTTTTCATCTCGTAGAGTCTTTATTACGCAGAATTCTAGGCCATGTACACCCAGACGATGTTGATTGGGGATTCAGGACTGCCTGTGCTTTATTTATTACATAAATAAGGCTGTAGATAAACTGATTCGTTTGTCTCTTTTGGGTTTTGTGCGTAATTTGAAAGAAAATGAAGTGATCTAATAAAACGTTTACTTACGGTGAATTAATCACATTGTTAACGTTATGTACAGACGCACACATAAAGTTACTCATGTTTGTTGCAAAATACCTCCTATTGCAATTATATTAAGAGCCCGCAGTGCTTAACTTGACACAAGAGCAAGTGTTGTAGGTACCTATAGAAGGCTTACCTATAGACGTGAAATCAAATAGTTTATTCAATACATAGGCCCATATTGCAGGCACTTATACACGTCCAAAATATAGTTTGCCCTACCACCACTTCGGGACAACATATGGGCTGATGCTGAGAGAAGTGGCGGAAGAAACTCAGTCACCTTTGTCAGTCTCTTTTTCAATCCAATACAGTAATTTTATAGCTTACATGACACGTAATAAGTGCGAGCTAGGCAGGTAAAGTCCACGCACTTTTGTTATTTTATATCTAAAAAAATAAACACACAAATTGATAGAATTAAACATATTCGTATAGATTAGTAATACGTGATTACTCGTACGTTAGGTTAGTTTCAAAGAGGGATAATCTC